TCATTTCATTGAATTCTAGAATAGAATTCTTTCTGGTTGACAGCACATGGTATTTGGAACAGATAATGAATTCAAAAACTTTATCAGCTGAGAGAAAGCCAGCAATGKTTGGGGAAATTTGCATTAACATGGATGACTCATTTTTCATTTGAGCTACTCTTGAGTTTATATTATAGGGAAATGTTTTGATAGAGTTTCGAAAGACCATTATATATATCATGCAATAATTGAGATACTATAGCGATAAAAGAAAGGTTTAGACTCATAAGACGGTGATTAATTGCAACCCTGTGAATCATTATCGACAAAATGAAAAGACTCCTTAAAGATATCAGCAGGAAACGTAATTACACGAGTTCAGGAAAAGAAAATTCCAAGTACATTCGCTGTCTGAATTCTCTGGATTTATCTGCATTAGGAATAGCGTCAGTGGTCAGTTCTGGATTTTATGTGCTCGTTGGAAAGCTCGCTCGAGATTTAGCGGGGCCGGCAATCGTTTTGTCATTTGTTCTGGCAGGATTCTCTTCTCTATTATCAGCTATATGTTATGCGGAATTTGGAGCTCGAATTCCCAAGTCAGGATCAGCATACACGTACACATACCTATCTCTGGGTGAAATTTGGGCGTTTATTGCTGGCGGGAACATGATTCTTGAGTATATCATTGCAATGTCTTCCCTCAGTAGAGCGTGTAGTGAGTACATCAACTCTTTATCTGGAGGATATATCTACRAACATTTCTTCGACAAATTAAGCTGGTGGGAAAGCCCTGCACTTGCGAAATTTCCTGACTTCCTGGCCCTATTTATTTTGATATTAATATCCATTATTATTGGACTTGGAGTCAAGCACAGTTCCATTTTTAACAATACGGTTACAGGTATCAACCTTCTAGTTATAACATTTGCTTTATGCGTTGGATCATACTATGCAGATACCAGTAACTGGTCCTCATGGGAAAAATTTGCTCCTTATGGATTTCAGGGTGTCCTCACGGCAGCTGGCAGTTCTTTTTATGCTTTCGCAGGCTTTGATGTGATCGGAACAGCGGCAGAAGAGACTCTCAATCCAAAGAAAGCAATTCCAAGAGCCTTAATTATCACATTTGTGGTCAGTTTCTTGTCTTATTTTGGAATATCTACCGTCCTGACATTAATGCTGCCATATAACCAACTTGACGAGTTTGCTCCCCTCGCTGAAGCATTTGCACAAAGAGGATTCATTGCAGCCAAGTATATTATCGACATTGGGGCCATCGCTTCGATTCTGACATGCCTACTTGCAGTATCGTTTGGTTCAGCTCGAGTTATTCATGCTATGGCAGCGGATGGATTATTATTCAAATGGTTAGACAGCATCAACAGTAAGACCCACGTCCCTCTTCGTGCTCTTGTATGTTCTACCACCATCTCTGGAACACTTGCCGTCATACTGAATTTGGAACAGTTGATCGAAATGCTTTCCATTGGAACACTGACTGCATACACTTTAGTAGTTATCGGTGTGTTATTGACGAGGTTTCAGTGTGGCATAGAGAGTGTTTACGATGATGATCCTATAATAATTAAAGAAGAAGAAGAAAAAGAAGAAGAAGAAGGGAGTAATAGGGTGAAAGTCTGGCTAAAGACTTTGTGGTGCAAAGATAAGAAAGATGAAACCAGGAAATATGGAGCAGAATACACACAACTGACCACTTCTGATAGCACTAACAAAGAGGCATCACCTAATGAACCCGAGAACAAGAGTGAACCAACTGAGAGATCTAGTTTCTATGCTAGCGTAGCCATATTTGYACTTTCAGCGGGTCTGATTATCTTCTGCATCATGGTCAGTTTTGCACACAATCAGATAAGGTTACTGAAGGGATGGGCTATTTTAGTGACTTGTATCAGTGGAGCTATTGTTATATCAGTCATAGTATTTCTGTACCAGTTGCCCAGGAACTCAGCCACGTTTCCATTCATGGTGCCCATGGTCCCTGCTCTTCCCATAATGACGCTGGTCATCAACTTCTCATTGATTGTGAACTTGAATTATTGGACTTACGTAAGGTTTGGAGTGTGGATGGTTATAGGTAAGTAAACACAAGAATAAACACAAGTTATGTACATACACGTTACCAGCAGGTTTTAAAACCTTAGCAGGTTAGATGCTTAGAAGCACCTTAAAAAATTCTTTCTGTTGCCTCTTTAAATTATAAACACTATATTTATTTGAACCATGGTTGTTGAAGACTTAAAATGCGAATTCAGTCACGTGAGAGATATATGTGTACATTTGTATTTTCCGTTTAGGGCAACCTCCTTGGGATGGTATGTAGTTGATTTTCATATTGGATTCATAACAACCTTGATAAATAGGACCTTTAAAATCGACAACACTTGGCTAGAGTCCCATAGGGATGTGGAGAAACTAATACTCATTTTTACGGGAAAAGTATCTTCCCTCTACATATCATCGGGAGGGTAATAAATAATTGATTTAAATAGTGTTCATACCTGTGACTCCAGCTCATCTTCTCTTAACAATAACATTGCAACGTTGAACTTCCTAACTAACAAAGCCTTTTTATGCGATTATGCAAAAATGTTGATATTAAGCTTGTGTTTAATTCATTTAAAATGAGTAGCGTGTTTAGCACAAAAGGTCTTATCCCCAGTCATTTGGTCATTTTTCTATGTTTCAGGACTTCTTATCTATGGGTTCTATGGCCGTAAACATAGCAACGAAGCAATTAACAACCAGCCTGTTGACATGGGACAAGAAAGCGAATGATCCACTTCATAATTAATCAGGAAAAGCAGAGACGCATCTATGTTATGAGATTGCCACTGAACTCCTTCACATTACTACACCTTTTGCCGTTCATTAACAGAAAATGTACATTCATTTGTGCCAATAGTTGTATCAATAACGTGTAA